ATAAACTTTTGCTTCTCTTCTATTAGTATTTCTTGTTTTCTCATCCAACATACTAAGTGGTATTGAGTCCAATTAAAAAGGGATAGAAAACAAAACCATGACCTTGAAATATTCACCATCAATAATATTTTACCAAAACCGTCCGGATTCAAGAAAAAAGTTCAACCACCTACATGTATTATAAAACCTACAATGGTGATCTTGCTTTTCTGCAGAGCCAACCTTTTCTTAATTGGCTACCTTAGACTGTATCATCGCCATTGCCACGGCCACCGAGGGAAAAGTACGAGCATCGATCACAATCAAAACCCACAGACAGACAACCTTTGAGATGGGCCGGTTGAAGGTAGAAGAAAGTATTATTTCACTCGAAATCAAAGTCATGTGAAAGTATTATTTCGGTTGTGCCTGTTTTTTCTTGAGACTTCAAGTCTGGACCCTACGTGCTGGTTTCTCCTTGACTTCAAAAAAGGAAAGTGGAAAAAATTCTGATGGCACTCCATTTAATATCTTGAAACACTTGGAATGCATGAGACATGATTAAAGGTCATGGTATGAGAGGCCTTGGCAAGACAACCTTAGCCGAATGCGAAGGCCTACCATTAGTCAAGGGAGTTGATTTTCCAACTCTTCTTTTGCTCACTTAAACTCTTTTTGTTAAAAATTGCATGTTCTCACTCATCTTTTATTCACTTACACTCCCGTATTAGAAATTGTATGTTGTATTAAAAAGTATTGAAAAACAAAAAGGAGTGTAAGTGGATAAAAAAAGAGTGGAAAAATCAACACCCTTAGTAAATCTAAAATTAAAAAGAGGCATACTTATTCATTAAACACGTTTTTGAAGCCAATTAACCTAGTTGAATAAATTAAGAAATAAAACACATTCAACATAACATATAATGATTGATAGTTTGTTTCCATTTTGAATGTGATACTTTGTTTTTTGTTGTTGTTTATGCCCTAGTGTTATGGCAGGAATAATATGGCTAAAGAATTGATGTATTAGAAATTTAGATTTGATAAAGAATTTGAGTAAATTTTGTTATTACCTTTCTTGTGTTGTATGGATTACATATTATTTTTTGTTTGTTTTTGTTTTTATGTTACATTCTTGAATTTGACTACATATAAAGTTTTTCAATGTATTTATTTATTAAATAATAAAAAAAATCACATGAATATGTGTAGAAGGTTGAGGGCTATGTTATTGTGGTTCACCTAGGGCATGTAAAACATCATTCCCTGATTATTCCGAAGAACAAAAGCTATTGTAGTTGCCGAGCACCGAGACATTGAGACGGACATAACAACGCTAGGAAACCCCGTGCATATTTGCAGGCATTTATTTTCATCTAATTATTTCTCAGCATCTTCACTGAATTAGTTGTCCTTTGCCCAAATAAAATAATAAAAAACTTGCTTATCACAGTTGTTTCCATGACAATTAAGGATGAATAAAAACTTGCTAATCCTGTAGTCGTTGTATTGAAGTTGAAAGCCATCAAAAGAGTTATGGGTCCATTTTATTTTATTTTATTGCACTAGAAAATTGGCAACTTTTGACAAAAGCAACAAAATAGCGATTGTTTTGGTCGAAAAAGCTACCAAGTTATTACCGTCTGTTGGCATAACGCGATTCTGCCAATGTCTAATATTCTTTGGCTTTCCCGTTGCTTACATGACTGCATCGATACACTACCCACTGGAAAAACTAACCATGTCTAATTCCTTGGCTCGCTCCTACTCCCCCTACATGTTTTCATCGGCACAATCCATGGATAATCTCTTCAAACTTGAGTAAGAGTCAATTGTGTTAGGGATGAATACAACAGCATGGGCCCGTGTAGTTAAGGAATTCTTCTAATGTCATTCTTAATTTTTTTTAAGTATGTATCATACATGGAATATCAATTACTGAGATTCGAAATATTTATTCAATTCCTTAACATATAATTCTTAATGGAGCCAAACCCAAGTATATATACTCTGTAATTTGTACATCCTTACAATCTAACTGAAGAAAATCTTTCTAGTCTTCATTTTCGATTATTAAAAAGATATTTGTGCAAATATATAGAGGATTTTCAATAATTTGGATGAACTATTTTATTTATTTATTTATTTATTAGTTCTAATGAATTATTCATATCGTATGTGCTAATAAAATAACGCATGATTGATCGAAAATAGATTTATCGCAATTGGGATTTTCAACTTATCATAGAAGAAAATAGGGAGAGTAGTTCTTGTCACTATGTCAACTATACAGCTACATATGCAAAACTAACCTTAATTAATACCCATAAAACTGTATATTCAAGCTTGTAGAGTTACTCCCAAGTCCCAACTATGAAACACAAGTTAACTACAAAGTAAATTTAATTTCTAATGACAAACATAAATTAGGTAATTCCTACATAAATGTTGCCTATATATAGAGAAATAAACGGTCCGTCAGGCTGCGCATGTCATTATATATTATCTTTGATCGGTCATGTTTATATATTTTATAGAAACGATATTTTCTTTTTTAATATAATCTAAATTGTATGTGGATGAATTTGAACTCCGATACAGAGAAACACATCTGCTCTAACCAATTTGGCTAAGCTCATATTTGATGTTCAGTCGGGTTTATATTAATAGACATGAATAGTAAGAGAAAATTTTGAATGCATTTAATTTTATTTTGATTTTTTAAAATGGTTTGTAAATTATTATTCTATCCTTACTATATTAGTTTATATATATATATATATATATATATATATATATATATATATATATATATTTATTTATTTATTTATTTATTTATCCATTTCATGTAATGTAATTGTAGGGCCATGACTGACACCTTGTCAAATTTTTTTGACAAATGGCCTTTCTCTTGAATAATATAGTGTATGCTATAGATAAGTAAGGCCATAACCCAACAGTTCAAGTTATGGACATTTCACTTCAGACTATAATTTCAAAGTCTGTCCATTGCATAGAGTGGTTGTGCATTATCGGTTTTCTATATTCTTTCTGTTAACATACTGGCAAAGTTACTTTCCAGATTGCATATTGCCAGATTGCGGTGTTTTGGTGATTTCTGTTGCAGCTTATGAGAATTTTCTGGTGCACCTGGGTGCAATTTTCTTATGACTGATATTGACCGACCACCTTGTTTTGTTGGGTACAGCACAAATGCTACATTGTTGCTACATACGATCGAGATTTAAAGCGAAGGATCCGAAAGGTGGAATAGCAATTTCTAACAATGTTATGTGACATTACAACGTTAATGTGTAACAACTGTGTAACTTTTCTTGTTTTAAGTGCAGATCCCTGGTGTGCCCATCATGTACATCACTCAACACAAGTATTCAGTTGAGCGGTTGCCAGAAGCAACAATTGGTGGAGATGAGAGCCAAACTTTTGGGATTTTATTTGAATTGGATATGCTATATTCAGTGTTTTAAAAAAATTAGTTTACTTAAGGTAAGATACTTATTGATACTTGTACATTCTGTTTTGGTGCAGCTCCAAGATTTTGATGATGGGGATGTGACCTTTACAAAGCAAAGACTAGTACCACCATGTGATGCGAATCACATGCTGAGAGACCAGCAACAAAAACGCCTGTGGCTTTTTGTTGATCTTTGATGATGCACTTCATAAAGGCTAAGTTATCCGTTTTCAAGTTAGGTGAATTTTCTTTCCTTTAGAACTTATCTCGTGATGGCCTGCCTTGCCCTCCGAATACGTCTGTTCAGTCCTGAGGCTATTTTCTGACTGTTTTTGCTTCTTGTCTGGGTCTATTTTAATTTTGCGCTCTCTGTTTTTGTAGTAGTTTATCTTTGTGGCCACGGCCTGTTTCTGTTTGGCTCTGCCTTTTGGCTTTGTTTTATGAAATATCCGGTTACCAAAAAATAAAGAACTTGTGAACTTTTTTCATTCATACTTATCATTAAAGAAGAAATGGATGTCCACATGTAGTGGTAGGGCTGGTCATTTATACCGAAAACCCGACCGAATTGGACCGGTTTTGGCGAGTTGGTCCGGTTTTTTAATTAAAATAATTGAAATCGATAGAAAAACTGGCCGACCCAATTGTGAACCAGTTTGAATTTTTAAAAACCGACAAAACCCGAACCAGACCGATTCCATTAAATTGCCTAAAAATTCAGACAAATGCCATGATGGGAAATCGAACTCTGTTCAGAGTTCAGATACAAAGCCCAAATACCACTAGACTAATGTGGTTTCTTGTGCAATATGTGTATAATTATTTTATTTATTACAATCTAGAACATTTTTTTAAAAAGTTCGGGTTTTCCCTGCCCCCAGACTCTCCTTTTCTTTTTCTTTTCTCTTCTCCCATCCCAGCCGTCATCCCTTTTTTCTTCTCTTCTCTCGCCATCTTTTTTTCATTCCTTCTCTCATCTTTTATTCTTTTTCTTCTTTCTTCTTCCTCCCGCCGCTGCATCTTTTTTTTTTTTTTTTTTTTTTTGGGGTAAATAGCTGCATCTTCTTCTTTTCTTCTTCTTCCTCCCCGTACCCTCAACCACGAAGTGGTCCTCAAGCTGCTGGCTGCATCTTCTTCTTCTTCTTTCCCTCTTCTCTCCATCTTCTTCTTTCCTTCTTCTTCCTCAGCTTCTTCTTCTTTTCTTCTTCTTCCTCCCCATACCCTCAACCAGGAAGTGGTCCTCAAGCCCTCAATCTCAGTTCAATCCTCTGCCATCGATGCTCGCCGAACCAAACTAAACCGCACCGAATTCTCGGCGTGCCGATTGTAGTCGGTCTTGCATCTCCTCGGCATGGCGGCGGTCTCCAAAATAGGTGCGCCGATGACCTCCGGTTCGGTGGTCGGCAACTCCTCCGAGATACGGTTATCGAACCGTCAACAGCCCTATGTAGCAGTAATGGTATTTTGTATTTGCTCATGCAACTCTGTTAACTTTTGTAGTCAACTGGGTGATTATATCCATTATAGAGATATTCTTTTGGGACAATAACATTTATGTTTCAGATCATAAAATGCTAGCGTGCCAAGCTGCATGACCGATTCTGAATTCTCTTCAGAGAATGATGGTTCTTTATTACTAATCAACTCAAAATCCAGACGAAAACAAAACAAAAAACAAAACCCAGAAACAGGGCGCACACAACAAAAAACAACACAACTCGCCACATATTACTATTATTATTATTATTTTTTTGTAATTACTTTTCAATATAGTTTGACTCGAAGAAACACTCCAAAGCATAGCGGGTACAGGCTGATTAGGGTACACTCCAAAATTACAAATGCCTCGAATCAAAGCCAGCAACCCCTTTATTTGTAAATCTCCTAAACCCAGAAGCCTGTAATTTTAAACCAAATTAAATAACGAACAGTGAGCAAGTATGAATACTTGAAAACAAAATATCAACAGAAAATTTTCTGTAAATGTGGCTTCACAAAAACAAGGACAAAGAATAACCCTTTTCAAGCTGTAAGCTTCAAATGCACAAAGAATGCTTGGTGTAACCGCACATCACCATCCCAACAGGGATAGTCTTCTGGGATTATAGCTAGTGCCCTGCACATCGGGCAAAGGTTGTTCTTCAGAAGCCACTCCTTTATGCAGTCTGAATGAAAATCATGAGGGCAGTAATATAAACTCGCAATTTTGTCTTGGTCCTTGTATTCAATCTGCAGAAATTCAACAACAGATGAGCAAATGCTGCAGGACGGAGTTGGGACAGTTTATCAGAGAACATTTTATCGCATACCATGCAAATGCTGCAACTATCGGGTTCGCGCACTGTTTCCGATACATGGAGTTTTGTTCTCAAACGGTTCGTAATGGTCGTCTCTGACAACCCAGCTTTCTCCTTGGAAAGCTGTTCCTCCAAGAAACAACGTAGATCCTGCAAGGATACACGGCCTGTTACGAACTTGATTTTTATGACAGTACGTTTACCTTCATCCCTACTTATTACGTAACATAAAACTGACGAACAAACTGAAGATCACACCACTCACCTCATCATTCAAGTCATCAGCCAAATTCAAAACACGGTAATAATTCATCACTTTCTCCATGCTCGACAAACTCAACATGTGAGACACTGTGAACTTTGGCCATTGCATCTTAGATGCTTGTGTTAGTTTTGTACTCGTGTAACTTCCCTAGGGAGAGATTCCAAAGGAAGCAAGCAGAAAAATTAGTTATATGAAGAAGACCAAAATACTGAATTAAATTGAAGTGGATTGTTTCGAAGATTGACTATAAACACAAGAACATACCTTATTTGTCCTATCTGATGATAGGCTGTTGCTTACTCTCTCTATACAGCCACCTTCCCTGACATTACTCCCTGAAAAGAGAAATAAGAAATTCACCACTTGTTCTCTAAATTGCAATAGTCCTCGCTAAGAATTATGCATTTCAACAAATAAATTATGAGAAGAGGATTTCAACACAAAAGGCACGCGTTAATTTTCTAGGATAGAAGAGAGAATGGATCTCATACATAGAAGTTATGGCATACAACCCAAAACCAAATGGCAATGAGTGAAGATGTGCAATATATGGCAAAATATGTCTTAAATTCCCAATGTGGAATTTTACACTCACAAGCACGCCCCAACATGAGTCGGTACTAAGGTAACCACGTCATCAATTACAATAACTGACGGGAAGCATATGTGGCCATATGACCTTACTTCTGGATAGCCCCCACTAATACCATAGAGGCTTAACATTTTAAGTATTGTTATGTAATTTTTAGAATTCATGACGTGAAATTCTATATTCAAAAACACGACCCTCACACACGGTGGGATTGAGGCGAACACGTCGTCAATTTTATTGATTGACGTGAAGCCGATGCGGGCATACGGTATTACATGTAGATTGCACTATATGATACCATGTTAAAATTAGAGAATCCGACCCAAAATCACATGACAATAAGTGGAGAGGCTTAAGAACTTAGAGCAAGTCCAGCCATAGCCCCCAGCCCTGGCAGGACAGGGCCCGAGCCTAGGCAACAGCTTCCAGCGGGCCAAGCTTGCCTGGGCAAGCCGTGGTCCCCATGAGACAGGGCCAGCCCGCAGCCTGGGTTTGCTGACATCAGCAACCAAAAAATACTAAAAATTTCAGAATTTTTTTATAATAAATACTTAGTCATATTCTTCACTTCCCACACCAAAACTCTATACAAATTCCTCTCCTCATATCTCATGTGAATAGTGATTGCCATGGCAAGAGGTGGAAACACCACAACCTTTTGCAATGGCTGCCACTATTCATGTGAATAGTAACAGCCCTTGCGTTGCCCTTGCTCTTTGTCATGGCAAATGGGTGGAAGTGCTCTTATATCTCACTATGGTAGGCCTTATTTTGCCGATGTGGAATTCTATACTAGCCAACACGATCCAACCCAAAACCAATTGACAATGCGTGGACGGGCTGAACACATTTATATATTGTAGCGCAAAGCTTGAGATACCTGTGATAGTACTTATATTCTCAACATCATGAAGATCATCTCTGCTCTCTAGTCTTCCTTGGGTAGATAGAGGGGCATCCTCATGAGCACCTAAAGAAATATGGTTGGAAGATTCATTTGCAATATCTACTAAACTTGAACTTGAACTTGAGCCTGTTGAAACCTCAACTTCCACACACTTGCTGGTTGTAATTTGTGCCTTACTTTGGCTACCTATAAAGGAGACCTATGTCAAATATATTTCAGCTCCCAAAATGAAAACTCACCATACCATACCATACCATACCATATACCATGAAACACAGACATAGACATCAAATTGACAAATTGAATAATTAGTAACCTGCATAACAAGCCTCTTGTGAACAAGTGATCCCATCATCCTCATCATCCAATTTCCCCCTCAAATTCCTTTCACTACAACCTGATACAAATTCTAAATTCTTCCCTTTGCATGAACCATTAGCATCATCCATGCAGCGATCCTTCCTGAAATGATGAGGTTGGTCATGTTGATTGCCAATCGATAGTATCACTTGGGATTTAAAAGAGCTTGGCATGCTAGAAATTTCAGGACAATTCAGAGAAAACCCTCAACTGATGTACTTGAAAATCCAAATCTACTATAAATAAATATACGAAAATTGAGCCAACCGTTTGGGAAGCATGACTTACACAGAAGTTTCCGCTGAGTCTGGATGCGATTTCCACAGATTCGGCAGCCAACCTAGACCGATTCGCTTTGTGAAGGAGACAATGGAGTGGCGGTGGATCTAATGCTTGCTGTCCTTGTCAATCTCTAACCCATCGTTTTCTTCAACTAGCTACCCACCGAACACGTCATTGATGGCAAATTGACGGCTGAGATTGTGCCGCGAAACTTGGTACAGCTCAGATCTTATTGCTATTGGCCACTCAAATATAAAAGGAGTTTTTGGGATATTTTATTTTTCTTTGATAAAAGTTAGAGGAGGGCCTGCTTGTCTTGTCACGTAATTGAAAAGTAGTCTTCTTGTATTGGGTCCATTTTATTTAGAGAGCGACTTGTATTTGGACATTTTGTTACATGTCGACAAAAGTCACAAAATTATTGGGGACCAGCGATAATTAATGCCCATATTCCATGGCCACATTTGAAAGCTCATGGAAAATATACAACTTACAAGCAGTGATAATAATATAAATTTGTTTGGTTGTTGAGAAATCCCCCTATAAATACTCTAAGAAAAATAAATTTTAAAATAAAAAATAAATTTTTAAATAAAAAATAAATTTTAAAAAATTAAAAACTGTATAATAATAAAAACTGCAACTTCTCTCATCTCTCATCTCTCCTCTCCTCTCCCCATCCCAACGAGTAATTTTTGGGTGTTCCGGGTACACCACGTGGCTGGTGTACCATCCAATAGACAGAAGACATATGAAATATTTTCAATGCAGCCCGCCACATGTCATAAAAAGAAATGCAGTAAGTTGGACAATAATTCCACATGTCCTATGTTTATTGGATGGTACATCAGCCACGTGGTGTACCCAGAACATATAAAAATTTCTCCATCCGGACCCACCCCCACCTCTCAGCCTCCACTCTCCGGCCCACCCCCACCATCACAACTCTCTCTCGCTCTCTCTCTCTCTCTTTCTCTCTCGTCTCAACCTGATCCAAGTACTTCCATGGTGGCTAGCCTCTTTGCCGCCACAAACCCCAACCCCATCTGTCTCATCCAATCCTCATACCTCACTTGCAAAGCCCCAAATCTGACCCCATTCCATCTCAGTAAATCCAAACAAAAACAGCAACATATCGATGACTGGATTTCAGAGCACAGAGGACCAAGAACAGTAGCACATCGCTTCAAAACCTCCTTCCCAGAACGATTGATCCTCATGGTTCCTCAAAGCCCAGCAAATCCATCTTTAATTCAGAACCATTGTTCATCATTATAAGATATAGGTACTTGATTGAAGAAGAAACCCAAAATGCCTACACCTTTTTATACATAAATCTTTCAAGATGCAGGCTATACACCCAAAATGAACAAAGACCCAATTTTGCAGACCCCAAATCATCACAGGCTGAGAGGTGGGGTGGGTCGGGGGGGAAGGGGAGAGGAGAGATGAGAGAGTTGCAGTTTTTTTATTTTTTGTTTAAATTAGTTTTTTTTATAAATATTTTCTGATTTTTAATATATTTTTTAAAATGCATTTTTTAATTAATCCATGTGGCATCATATTATTGGATATGTCAGGTCAACATGTGTGCCACATCATCAATCTAACAAATTTTTGGATGGAACCTAACGGTAAGGACTACTTGAGAGCACGTATGTTAACCTTAAGAACTGTTTGTACCATATCTGACCCTCCGCTCATACAACGACACGTGGATCTTAGAATCTCACCCAAGTACCCAAGGCCTCGAACAATCGGCATAGGCTACCGATGGCATTGTCTCAAAGCCGCAAACAGCCGCTACAGGCCCAGCCTCGTCTACAATTGGTATCCCCTACCGATTATGCAGAATCAACCTCGAAGCACCCGCCCGAAAATATCTAAGGACTCGTGTCAAACTCATAGGGCCCTCCCACGAGTCTCACATCGAAATTAAGTACTAAGAGCATACAAAATGTCCTCTATAAAGAGGCCCCTTCACCACAATACAAAGGTGGGACTTTTTAGCTTGACTTTTATACTTTTGTATGGTCAACAGCAAGAGCTCTTATAAATCAACTTACTCAAGCATCGGAGGGTCTTAGGCTGGTTCCAGACCGGTTCCATAGACCTCATGAGTTTCGCTTATCTTCTATTCAGGATCAGCATCCGAGGACATGAAGAATCTCCATCCATCACTCAATCGATCTACTTGATCGTCCACATCTCTTGTAAGTTGCACTCATCTCTATCTAGTCAGTTTTAGTGTCAACAAGAACCACAAATGACCCACAAAAAAAAAAAAAGACGCAATTTGATAGTTTCGCAAACCTCAGAAACGTTTTGTGATAAAAAGCCTTTTCTTTTTACTTCACTTTTATATTATTTCATCTTTTTTTTCCCTTCAATTTTCAAAATCAAAATAAAAAAGAGAAAACAAAAAATATATATAAAAAACCCAGCCCCTCCTTTGTTGTACCCAACCTGTGCCCTCCCTCGCCACCATCCCCAGCCACCACCTCCTCTCTTCCTCCATTTATCTTTCTTTCTTTTTCCATACCCACCAATCTCTCCGTCTCTCTCTTTGAGATTTGGGTTTGTTTTTCAATTTTTTTTAATTGATTTTTATTAGTTACCACTGTGGGGGTTTGGATGGGAAGATTAATCTTGGGTGGGTTTGGGGTGATGGGGTTTGGGATTGGATGGGGGTGGCTTTGATGGTGGTTGGAAGGATGTTGTGGTTGAACTGGGGGTAGAGGTTGCGGTGAAACTGATGTTGGGTGTGTAGAGGAAGTTGGGTGGCTGAAGAATGGTTGGGTATGATTTGGTTTGGTGGGTTGGTTTTTGATATGATTCTTTTGATTACTTGGTTTGGTTTTATGATTTTATTTTTTGGAAGTTGATTTTCTTAGTTTGATTTGATCTGTTGGGCGAAGAACCAGAATAAGGCAGGGAGTTGGGATGGTGTTGACTAGGGCCTCGCCGGAATCCAGACAAAGTGAGACATATATGTGTGAAAAATGGAGTAAAGTCAAACAAAATGAGTTTCAGGGGCCAAAGTGAGACTCAAATATACTTCCAGGGGGTATATCAAAAAATAAGCCAAAAAAATATTGAAAAATGAGGGTAAGTGAAAATAAAGTAAAAAGAAAAAGAAATTATATAAAAGTGAAGTAAAAATAAATTAATGTAGGGTAATGGTTGAATAGGAAAGAGAAAGAACAAAGAAGAACAAAATTGATTAAATGATATTAAAAAAACAAAAAGGAGTGTAAGTGGAGAAAGATGAAGTAGGAAAATCAGCTCCTTAAAAAAAGAATAAGAAGCAAAGCTCAAAACTCACTTTTCTGTAGTATCCTGTGTGTGTGTGTGGAAGAAGATTACAAAAGGATTAGGGTAAATTACTCAAATGGTCCCCAAACTTGTACGCGATTTACATTTTGGGGCCTGAATTAAATTTTTCGTTCAAATGGTTCATCAACTCTATATTAATTACTCAAATGGTCCCACCGTCTAATTTTCTGTTAGATTTAACCAAATTTTAGGGTAAATAATGACCAATTTGCCCTCATATTTAACGGAAATATTGACAGAATGTAACGGTGGGACCATTTGAGTAATTAATATAGAGTTGATGGACCATTCGAACGAAAAATTTAATTCAGGCCCCAAAATGTAAATCGTGTACAAGTTTGGGGACCATTTGAGTAATTAACTCTTAGGATTATAAAGGTATAAAGGCCTAATATTTTAACAGACTTGTTTATGTAAGAGGCTAAGGAAGTTATCGTATTTCTCTAATAATTCAATTCCTCTCGAATAATATATTATCGCTCTTTAAAAAGAAAAATAATGATATTCTTGCATCTAGAAAAATACTCTTATACAAAGTAAGGGTTAATGACCGAAATGGTCCCCCAATTATTGCTCCAGTATCATTTTGGTCCACCAACTAAAATTTTCATTTGAACCATCCTTAAACTCTTTATTTTGTATCAAATTGGTTCTATCGTCAAAGTCTGTCAATTTGTTGTTAAATTGAGGGGTAAAATTGTCCATATAATCCCTCACCTCATCACCCCAAAACCACCCAACTCCCCGCCTTCTTCTGGTTCTTCGCCCAACAGATCAAATCAAACTAAGAAAATCAACATCTAAGAAATAAAATCAGAAAACCGAACCAAGTAATCAATCAAAAGAATCACATCAAAAACCAACCCACCACCAAACCAAATCATTCCCAACCATTCTTCAGCCACCCAACTTCCTCTACACACCCAACATCAGTTTCACCACAGCCCCCACCCCTAGTTCAATCGCAACATCCTTCCAACCACCATCGAAGCCACCTCCATCACCCCAAATCCACCCAAGATTAATCTCCCCATCCAAACCCCCACTGTGATAACTAATCAAAATCAATCAAAAAATTGAAAAACAAACCCAAATCTCAAATAGAGAGACAGAGAGACTGATCGGTATGTGGATTGGATATTTGGGAGATGTGTGTTGATTCAAAGGTGTGGGTAGTTTGGCCATATGGGTTTGGATCTGGTATCAGATGATGTAACTTGTTATGGGGTGGGGGCTATGGCTGGTGAGTGGACTATAGTAGGTGGCTGGTGAGATTCAAATTTTTTATTTTTTTTTTATTTTCTAAGTTTTATAATAGTTTCCTTTAATTTTTAATTATTTATTAATATTTTAATTCATATGGACAGTTTTACCCTTCAATTTAACGGCAAAATTGACAGACTTTGACGGTAGGACCAATTTGATACAAAATAAAGAGTTTAAGGATGGTTCAAATGAAAATTTTAGTTAGTGGACCAAAATGATACTGGTGCAATAATTGGGGGATCATTTCGGTCATTAACCCTACAAAGTAAAAGAGATTATGATGCACAAGGAAATTAGAATCTAGGATGTCTAATTCACCTCATGCTATTTGAGTTAAGAGGATTCTCGTGCAAACAATCCACACACTATTTCCAATGATATTCTTGAATCTGGTTGCTACCTTTCTAACCTAGGAAATATGCTTGGTGTTGTAAGAAATTCCATCGGGGAAGGAAATTGTTACCTTGTAGCTTAATCTGTTTTCACAAATAGATACATATTAGTGATTTG